TTTTTATGGGATTTTTAAAAATAATATAATACTAAACCAACTTATTGAAAACTGGAATTTGGCATCATAAAATCAAAAAATTTATACTGCAACAGAAATATTTTCCTAGAAAAGTTGATATTCCTTTATACTTTTTGTTATTATGAGGAAAATATTTCCGTTAAATGAATGAATCCGAAAACTTATTGAGCGTTTAAAACATCTGATTTTTTTCTTTTTGATTTTTAATACTTAATCGATTCTAAATTAACTATACTGAATGTTTCATAAAAAAACGTGTCTGTGTATTTAAGTGTTTAGAATATAAAAGTGTATAATATTTTAAATAATATACAACTTTAAAATAATAAAACAACGAGTTTATTACTAACGAACATTTGCAAAATCCATTTAGTATTAATTTTTGATCAACATTAAATGAATTAAATTTAAGGAGTTATTGAAATTGGTTTAAGATAAGTTATAACTGATACTTATAAAACTCAAATTACTCCTATTAAATTTTTTTAAGTGATTTTATTAAAGAAAATACACATTTTGATTTCATTTTACCTCTATGAAATCTTTTGTTATTTGTTTAAGAATTCGTGCTGGAGCAGTAGAACTGTCGATGAAATTCCTTGCCTAATTTTATAAAATATGATATGATCCAAGAACCTTGAAACAATTATGAAATACTATTAAAATACTTCACATAGTAAATAATTTAAAAAGAAGAAGAAAACAATAAAATAATAGCTCTAATTATTAGTATTAGATTAATGACTATTCTTGGGCTATACCTATCGAATGAAGGTAGCATCTTTACTGACTCTCTTTGGGATTAGGATTCGTGTAGATTACCTGGGAGAACGCAACTATTTATTTATAATAATTTGTGTGATTATAGAGTATCATAGGCGTTCCTTATTATCTATAAATATAAATTTGTAAGTGTATGCGCAAAACTCAAAATGTTCCGCACCGATTCAGCTGAAATTTTGACATGATATAGCACGCTTTAAGGATTGTTTTTACTTATTTTTAAAAACTCTGCAACGGCACACTTCTTGCCGTGAAAATTTCACTGAACAATACAGTGGAAGTAACGATTTTAACGGGACCTTTCAAAGGTTAAATGCCCTTATTCTTCAAAATCAAGTGATCCCAACCGATACACTATTTCAATTAAACCATTCTTCGATTGGTGCTCGCAGTTACAATTAACAAAGCTCAAGATCATTCTTTAGAAACACCTATAAGTTTCGTGTTCCCGTGTCGGAAAACCGGATAGCCTCTACAACTACACAAATAACCTGAACACTAAAAATATTATGTATCTAAGATTACTATAGCCAAACATATACTATAGGACTACTCAAATACATATATATGTATAAAAAAATTAAAAGGTATAAAATTTGTTGAATTTTTATGTAATATAAATTTTACAAAAAATGTTTTATTATGTAATTTAAAATTACATTAAAAATGTTGTGTTCACTTATATGGCACAAAATTAATTTGTTAAAATTAAGTGCTAATGAGTAATATTATGTCAATAGTGAGATAACTTACAATTGATTACATTGCCAAATTTGTTCTACTATTCTATTTCTGATCTATATTATAATATTCTAAAACTTGTTTACTGAATAATTCAGCCTTAGAAATTCCAATTACTACCAAATCTATTTCTTGCTTCCAGCCAAAGCCAAATAGCTCATTATTGGCAGTATATCACTCAAATTCCTATTCTCGAACGTGGTCGAGATCCAAGATCTTTAACATGTATTAAAATTTATCTATTATGTCATGAATGTATAAAACTTTTCAAAATATGTATTATACTCAAAAGAATGCGGTAAAAAAGATACGTATAGAAAAAAATATTTTCTTTTAAATGATGGCACACGTTTAAGTTAACACTAAACATCCTACACTAGACTGTATGACCATATTAGTATATAGTAAAAAACAAAACGATTCTTTGTACCGATACTTTTTACCGATTCCAAGAACTCAGTACTTTCATAGCTTAATATTAGTTATAAGAGGAGTTTCGTCAAGTTACAGTATATTATCAAGTCATACACAATTTAAGAAATATAATTTATACAAGTAGTTTTAATTAATACGAATAAGTTTTTAAACTGAATAGACGTTATAACTTCATAAAGAGTCTGGTTTTGTCAAATATTTTAAGTTGTTATGATCGACAAGAGCTTTAAACTTTACAGTTTTACTTTGTATGCTTCACCCAAGTTTGCATCGTCACACTGCACAGGGAGCCTTAACAATTTCCTTTCATTTCCTTCTTACATAGATATTACATACATACATAGGCTATTGAATTCATATTCATATTTAGCGTGACGATATAAATTTTTCTAAGTCATACAGAACTCAAGGGTTGTTTAAACAAATCGAAATATATATTATTTGAAGTATGTAAGCTGAAATCGTTTTGATACTTTTTAAATGTCTTCCAAAAGATTACTATACCAATTATCACAAGAGACTAAGTATATTCCAATAATAACTGCCTTTGACACTGCAAGGAGTGATATTAAATACTAGATATATCTAACTGACGACTATTCTTATATTTAAAAATTGAACTTTCTATATAAGTACTTGAAGAATTTTCAAAACGCAAAATTAAAAGATACTGAATATCAGATTATTTAAAAAAAGTATCGGACTTGGAAGAATGTGGGTTTCAATAAATAAGATAATTATTTGTAATGTAATATAAATAATAATAAATAAATGATATTAATTTTTATAGTCACAAAAATCTCAAAAATAATGTATGTAATTAAATATAAATTTATAATTTGAAATCCTTCCAATACCACAACACAATATAAAAATATATAGGAAAATAATATCTAGAATGGAATTATTAAATGATTAGGGTCCTTCAAGAACACCTGTATTAATTACTAAAATATAAAACGCTAAGGTACCGTAAAACGGCAAGCCGGTTGTTTGTCTGACTACTTTTTACGACCACCATTAACTTAAATGTTGCTCCCAAAAAGAGAGTGCTTGTAAGAATAATTTAATGACTAATAAAACAAAGAAGATATTTATAATGCAGACAAAATGTAAGAATAGTTTGTTTAAATTAGACTTTATAAATAGACAACTAAATCAGAAACCTTCTTGCAATTACACAAGGTCAAAAACTCAGAGCGGATATTAGATAATTGTATCAACCAGGAGAAATGGATAGATGTTCTATTAATATAAAACGCTATGAAAGTAAAAAGATTAACAAATTAAATTATGTATTGGAAAAATAGAAACATAAAAAACAAATAAAAACATTTAATAGCTACTTGAAAAATTCCACAGATTAATTTTTGATAGCGAAAGCAAAGAGGTGAAGATACATCTTATTACACTTATTTGGTTTAAACAAAACCCTTAAAAGAATCCATATATAGAACATATTCTAAAACAATATTCTAAAGATATTCTCAATAACTTTGTAGTAAGAAAGATGAGGCTACACAAAACATCATATCAGGATGTGACAAACTTATAAGTGCAAGAATAGCTCAGTGCAGAATGTATATTGGACCATACATAAAAGACAGTTCGAAACATCTTTGATAAAAATAATTTCTTTCACATCCGGAAGTTAAAGAAAATGGAACTTCAAAATTAAAGTAAGATATCCCGATTCAAACAGAAGACAGGGTTACAAATAATCGACCAAATGTAATACATCTAAATGAAGCAGAAAATAAACCTTTCCTAAAGAAGTAACCGTATTATCCTAATACAAAATTGGACTAAAGGAAATAGAAAAATTGTCAGATATAAAATTATCAGATTGTGGGAACTGGGAATAGAAAAAATATCTATTAGACTGGGAACTATTATAATATAATCTTTATCAAAAAATAATAATCACAGGCACAATAGTCACTTAAGTAATGGGGATACGGTATTTGCAAGTGGGATATTTCTGAAATTGTCACTCTTTGATAAATTTGGAGCGTCAATATGAGAGATGTACCGAGTTGGCAATGAATAATAATTATTATAATATCATATTAAAATAGATCATACTAAATTAAATAGCTGCAAGCGTACACCGAATTTTGAAAATATGTATATATTGGTTATTCTAGTTTAGATGAACACGTTGAGTCGCTGGATGGAAAGGTTGCGTCAATCATAAAATAATATTAAATACAACAATTTTTTATTTTATTTACAAATACATACATATTTCTTATTTTAAATATACTAGTTTATAAATTTAAACATAAATTCTTTGTAAACAATGCTTAAATTATAATTTAAATAAACATCCAATAAGTGAAAAAAAATTGCTTGTTATCGTATGTCTTCTTAGAAGTACGTACGATAACACAAAATTAAATCAAAAATTTTGCAATAGTACTCTTTGGTAAGTTTATTGATTTCACAAAATTATAATTTGATAGACTTACGTACGTATATTCAAAGTTAAACATTAAGTGACCTTTAATCAGTGACAGGAAATTTTCTTTAGTACTAATCATTTAAATTTTTTTCCATATAATCCAATGTAGTAGAAGTAATTAATAGGTGTATTTCATTACATAAAATACAGATAGGATAAATTCGGATTGGCACAACTACAAGTATGAACAATCCATGAATTGAAACATCAGTCATGAAAACATCCAACATCTTTGGTTCTTGAATAACATTAAATATTTTTTTTATCTATTATCTACTAAATGATCACAACAAAATGCATCGTTCAATATTATTTTATAAATGTTTAATTACAAAAAAATCAAATGACAGGATTCTGAAATATAATACAATTCAACATACCTAAATATGAGAGTCATCAGAAACTTTAATCAAAAACTTAAACTTACAGTTAAGACAAGTTAGGCAAGTTTAAGATTTGAATTTATTACATTTTTACATTCATATAACTCATTATCAGTATTCATATATATTTTATTGTGATCAGACAGCAAGTACCTAGCTAATGTTTAAATTATTTATCTAGCAATATGATACAAAGAGAGTATAAGTGCTAATTTGAACGATGGCCAAATGTTGCTGCTTAAATTCGCGATGTTAGATAAAGCACCTGTAAATAAAAAATGTTTACATTTATTAAATATAGTCATTCAATCAAACTTCATTACATATATTTACCAAGTAATGAATATATGTTTTAGGATTTTCACTAACTACTAACGTTCAAACTATGTAGTATCAATATACATATTAGGCATATTTTACTACTTACTGTTTTCAGAAACACGATGTATTGGAAACAAAACGGCGCGATTAGTTTCAGGTACTGGGGCGACAGTTGTTTTAGGGTCTTCTTCATCTGTCACCTGCTCGTGGCTTTTGAAGTATATTGAGTAGATGTACGCAGAGCATCGGATCTACATAAAAATGAAAAATATTTATTATAATAGAACAGAAGAGATGTACTTTACAAATATCTACATGATTATTGTATCATTATAGTATAGTGTAAACTGATGCCAAATAATGTTTTGAAAGTATAAACTTAGTTTTCGTATTGGCTTAAAATTACTGTGATGACTTTCAGTTAGAACTCATAACAAGATGCAGATTGTGTGTATCTGAATATTTTTCATATGAAAGATTAAATGTTTTTGTTTTATTGTTGTTATTATTTTTTTATTGTAAAATTACGTCTATTATTGAGTTCAAATAACTGCAATTCAGTGTAGTTACACAAAAATAAAATGTGAAGACGTAATAATAATAGCATTGATAAATAATTGATTAATCTGTCAAGTTAAAAATTATTCACTCAAATTCATGTTACTAATACATATTTGAATATTTTATGCAATTTCTTTGCAGTTTCCTCAATTATCAAACATTCTTTTGCTTAAACTTTAAGTAAATGAAATTAAATATTAGAATTTTTATTTATTAAAAAAAACATGATGCATTACACATAAACAATAGGGCTTAATTTTACTTTCACTTTTGAAGATATTTTATGAGGTCATACTCAGTCACCCCAAAGAACGGGTACATTTTAGTCTTCCGAGAAAATCCACAGTATCATAGAGTTCCTATACTTAACCAGAAGTACTAAGAATGCCCAGTGGTTTTTTTATTCGGATCGTTTGACATTAGCGAGAGTACTCGCAAAATTCGCTGGATCTTTTCCGGCGTTGAACTATGCCCAATGCACGTACATTAAAGTTTTTTTATAATGAGGTTAAGTAAGCACTAGTTTACATTTAATAATTTAAAAAATATCAAATCTTAATCTGCGAAACCTGCAATACTGAAAGTATCACTTGAACCGTTTCAATCGGGGAATCAAAAAGTGAAGTAGAAAATACTGTATATAACAAAACAGTAATAAAACTAAACTATGCCATTCTTACAACAGTCTCTTGGCAATGGCCTAATATATCACTATAAACAACCCTTTATCTAAAATTCTCACAACCCGTTTTGGCACAAAGTCAAAAGTTCAACTTCTTATTGACGTACATAAGCCAAAACAGTAGCACTTCATATAAGGTATACGCATCAATTAAGTAATACTTTACTCTAACTATACTCTCTTCCAACTTGGATTTAAAAGCTGAGTGATTCCCAATAAATCGTCTATGGAGATTTGAATGATTTTTATGTTTACAATATCGTATATTTTTGTATCAAAAATATATATTATTTGAATGAAATATAAAAATAAAATGATACTACTAAATTAATCCAAAGTATTCGAAACACCGGGTTAAAATTACAAATAGCAATCTTGATACGCTTACACTGAACGTAATAATAGGGCTATTATTTGTTTATGGACAAATATAGATTAATATAATTATTATTTATTAATTTCCTACATAAATCTTCTTATATTACAATCAGTAAATAAGCAATTTTAATAATTATGCAGGTAAGGAAGGAAGCAATTCTTTGTAAATTATAAATTTATCATTACGAGCTTATTTGCAACATATACCGCTGGTATTTAAAGATATGGCTATGTAATACTTATTTTATTGCGCTTCGGTGTATATTCAATCCATGACTCGGGTATATGATCCTTCATAGCCACATTAGCCACTTCACCATTATTTCAACCAATTTCCTCAAAGCATTAACTAAAGGTTATCAATTCATCTGATTCTTTTGTTATTATTTTATTTTTGTTAATTCATAACGCTCGACTGGCTAAAGTGATTTTGATGATTTTTTAATTGAAAGCTGGAGCTTCCAGCTTGGTCTAGTTCTGAAAATGGCTTTAATGAGAAAACCATATAGGTCTTTTAATAGAATTTTTGCACCAGGACGAACTTTAAGAACGAGTAACTTCAACGTCAACCGATTTCGATTTATTTATAAGGCTGGACTTCCCAGATTTTCCTATAATGATTAAAACAAGACTTGCGAATTTGTATACACATTAAGTAATAGTACTACTTAACTTCTGACTTCAGAAGGTGATCAGATATTATGACATTGTACATATTTATTTAGTAGCTTTTAAATTATATTATTGTAAAGTAAATAAATATAGTGTTCGTTTATCAGCCTTAGGTATTTTGACAATTTTTGTGCAGATATAAAAAATATTTGTAGATAGTTTAAGTTAGGATATAAGTCTAAAATTTTTTTTGGTTTCTAATGCCTATGTTTTTTTTTATTTTGAAGTCGTTTTGTTTTTTTTTCTATCTGATTAGATATCAAACACATGTATTTTAAGGTACTTTTAAATGTCCAGTAATCCTTCAATAAGTAATTTCAGTAACTTCAACTTAAGGCTTTTAATTCCCAGACCATTATTTAAAACATCCACTTCATCAGAGAGATTATACGGTTCAACAAAATTTGAAACTCAACCGTTGCTACAAGCGTTTGACTAAAGTAAACTGAACTTTTAAAAGTTTTATACTTGAAGTAATTAAGCCATATATCACGAGAAAACATTCGTCACATATCACATATGTGTGTAATGTTCCCTTTGATATATAATAATTTATAAACCCTCTGGATTTAATATCTGCATCAATTTATATCGGGGATTATTTTTCGAAAATAATTATTTAGTATTTATTGGAGAATGAAAGACTTATGCTTTTACAAACAACTTTGATCTATATCAACAATATTTATATAAATATTTCAATTCAAAAATCAGAATAGTTTTATTTTATATATTCTTTGTGTTTTCGATAGAGTATAAACTACGAGTAAATATAAGCGCCACTAGAAAACGGACTCTCAATGATGGTGAAAAGTATAATTTTCTCACTATTAAATGAATTTTGACATATGAACCCTTAAAATAAATGACAGTAATCGTTAGTCAAGAATTAGCAAATTATAAAATAATATTTTATCCTCACCTTTATTTTACTTCTCACGAAGTGATGTTTTTGCACTATAAACTGTATGGTACTGTAGGCAGTCCACAGGCTACCGTTCTCGCCTCCGCTAACTCTATGCCAAACGTGTTGCGAAAGTGCCTGTGACAATTTAGAATAACTTCTAAATATTTTTTACTGTAACGTAGAATTATTTAATGTCTTCTAGTATATTTTTTTTTAAAACTACAATATCACAAAATGATATATGAATATATTTATAAAAAAAATATATGAAATGATAAATAAGTCAGTTTTAAAATTATATTTATTATAATTCGTACCGGTTCACTGTTCACAAAGAAAGAAAGATTGGCTGGTGGCATGGAATCGTAACTAATGCATTCCACTTTTAGCTTCATTCCCGGCTTGTATCTCTTTTTTAGTCCTATTAATTCTGGATCAGACTTTGGTAGATCTGCGAAAAGAAAATCTTCATAAGTGAAAATTATTAATAATCATCTTACATAATGCAGCTTTCTTTTTACCACTTTAACTTATATTAATTATTTATAAAAAATAAAAAAAATTGTTAGTATTGAAGATTTATTATTAAACCTAAAAAAATTAATTAGTAATAAATTCGATTATTCGTCATATAAAGCATCTTTGACAAATTCTCACTGATGCAAAGTAATGCGTTTTAAAAGTCTGTTTATTAATAAAATTTGTGTCTGATTTATTTCATATAACCACAGAAGCATATAAAACTTTATCAGTTCCTTAGAGAAATCGGTTAAGAGTAATCCATCAGATAAATTAATGTAACTATTTTAATAAATCATAAATAATTCAAGATCTAGTATCTGTGTCTTTTTTTATTAAATGTAACCCAAACAAAAAACTAGATATATAATTAATTGATACTTTGAGACAAAATTTGTAAAGGTTATTCTAGACTAATTTGAAACAAAATACAATTTAGTCATTGTCTTTTATAAACTAATAAAGACAAATCCATTTCATTAACTAGCAAGACTCATTTTTTCACGTTTTGATATGGCCATGATCATATTTCATTATTATAAACGTTTTTTTTTTTGTTTACTGGTTATCTTTTAAAAGAATTTTTGAATTTTGTGTTACTATTTTTTATGTTTTTAGTGCAAAATAAGCATCTCATTTTTTTTTCAATCGAACCTAATATTATCAGTGTTCAACTCTGTAATTTGTATATTGGTGTTACATTTCACCAACTGCAAAAATAATTATGATAAGTTTGAGGTACTTAAAAAGATTTTTAAATGAAGAATGTTATTAATAAATGAAATTAAAGTAATTTGAAACTTAAAATGAAAAGTAGACATAGTAATTTTCTCTAAATCTACGAAAAACACTCAACACAACAAAAATAATTAATTTTTCAATAAATCTTATTATTAAAACGGTAAAAATATATCATAAAAGATTCTATTGGAGGGTTCTATCCAACAAAGAAGCAGCAATCAAGGTTTTTCTAAGTAATTATAAGATTATTATTTTATATTATTACATATATTGAACGAGATGTGTATGTATCTAGTTTTATAATATAGCTTTTAAATACAGAAGATCTTAAACATACCGTAGCTTTTGGAGTCTTTGAATTTTGTTAGTGGTGTGTATCATGTTAATAATACTCGTATTATCCACTAGGTAATTTCTTTCCACTACCGTGGTAGTTATCGACCCATTTCCCAACACGTTTACAAGGTTATACGTACTTAGTGTTGTGTTAAACGCGATTTCAATTTAATGGATTTAACATTTAACAAATTTGATTAGGCCCACTTTGTGTAAACGGGTAATATTTAACTATTTATGATCGCGTAGATTTCAGACCGGATTTAATTTCACTATTTTAAGTGTGACTTGAAATAACAAAGGAACAATTAATTAACAAAAATGAGGTGAAATACCATGAAAAACCAATGAAATAATTTTAAGGGAAATGGAAGAGGAGATATAAAAAAACTGACATCAAAAGAACGCCTTACGATATAATGACGGTCGCTTTCAATGGGTTCATGAAAACATGTAATAAATTGGACATTGCTGTCTACAATGCAAATATTGCCATCTAGTTTACTTTAAGGCCATATTAATGAATATCTAACAAAATGCGATTGTTATATAGACTTTTTTAATAATAATATTTTGTTACTGTATATAACAGGTATATACATCATTGAGTTTAGTAAGTCTAAATAGACTCACTACTTTGTCAAAGACCACTAAGATAATTTCCGAACCAATTTTTATTGTTGAAAGTATGTCAATATACTGAAAGATTTATAAATTACTGAAATTCTAGTTAATATTGTTATACAAATAAAAACATATGAGTAGAAAAGAGAAACCCTTTTATTTTAAGTGAATTTTCATAGTAAATATTTCGAAGTTTGTTTCGTATGCGCAACATACTAAAATTTAAATGAACATCGCCGATGTAACATCATTTTACGGTTTAAATATCATTTACGAGTGAATTTACTGACTTCGGGAAACGGATCCCTGGCCGCTTTAATCAGAATTTTGAATGTACAACACAAGCTATTGGATGGCATTGGTATCCTAGCATCTTGCTATAATGTCGTTTTAGGTTTAGGTTACAACTTTTAATACATAATTCTTATATAACTATAAGTAAGATTCGTAGGTTTCCTGGAACCTCTGGCGGCTGTGAAGGCTGCGTTTTACATTTAATGAATATCAAATTATGGTGTAAGAAAAAAAATGAATAAAATAAATATGTACTTAAATAGTCTACTCGAAACAAGAAACAAGAACTCTACTCAAATCAACGCGATATAAATGAACTGTATGAAGGAGTTATAAAATAAACGAAAAGACAAACCGATAAAATGCTATTCAGATTCAAAGCCACCAAAAACATCAGTACTAGGAATGGCTTCGTGACGGCAAGTTATAACTAAAATTGTGTTTGTCACGACGGAAATTAAAATTCTCTCCCTCAAACTGCCTCGCAGATATTGGAAAATTCTTAGATAAGTTATAAAACCCTGTAAATATGTAGAGTACTAGAAGGAAATAGATGAAGTGAATGAGTTATATGTTAGTTTATTGACTTTATTAATTTAAAATTTTATACGTTTTATATTCTCTGATCCGAATCTATTTTAACACATCCAAACATAAGTACTTAGAATTTTATTTGGATAGTTCCATTTTATCTTCTGTTAACAAGATAAACCCAGTAAATAGTAATAAAAATCTTATTATTTTTAAGGTATATGTATAGCAACTATATGAAATAAGAACTACTGTGTATGGTTTTTTTAAATATATTAAAAGAACTTAGATTTTTTAGCCCTGACTTACAAATTTGGACCAGTTAGTTATTTACTCCATCAACACTTTACATGAAATAATACCTATTGACTATCTAAGCTTATCATCTTACAATACTCGATATTTTTAAAGTTACTATGAAATGTGAGTCATTGGAAAGTAGGTTTTTTAACATAGTAAAATTTTTGTGGCCATTGAAATCAGCAGATCGTAAATGAATTTGTCACGCTTTTACCTTTATTATACAAAATTATTAATGTATTGCAAAATCTTAACTTTATTAATCTTTTTTATATAATATTAATGTACTTACAAAATAACGATATAATATATGTTAAATTTAAAAATTATTCTAATATTTCATAAACTATAATATAAATACATAATAAATTAATGCTATAAATGTTATTTAAAACTGAACAAACGTACCTGTTCGTTATCTAACAGGCTTACTTTTTTACATGCTTCAATTTATATTTCTATAAAATAAAAGATAGACTCATCTCTTTTGGTCTATGAAAAAATGTTCAGAACTTTTTCGAACAGTCGATAAAATGCATGAAGATTTAATCTGTAAAGAATTTATTTGAGCAGATAATTTAGGATGTTTCCAATCCCGATCATTAAGCCAGTAGTGGAAAAAAAATATGGTCACACAATCAACAGATATTATAAATATGTATTTATTAAATGCCTACCTACCTAATACTTTTATTTTTACTTTTCATTAGCAAATTTCAAACAACCCAAAGCTGTTTGTTACTAGATATGTTGATTTTTCTATATATTTCATTGTTGATTCCCGTATAAAATTTCTTCAAACAATTATGGTCTTTCGAGTTTTTGCGTTGTGTAAACCTTATTTAATTTAAAAATAATAAATCAATGAATGTTTTAAAAACCTCTTTTTGTTGCGTGTGCTTGAACTAGTAACAAAATCCTTGTACCTATGTCCAAAGTATCGTTCGTAACAATATTGTCAGTGACGTCTTATCCTTATATGTATATCTATAGTTTAAATATGAAACACAGCACTACCCAAAATGTGGCAATTATAAGAACTTAGTTATTAACTTTTTGTTAGTTTTCTAAATAATATTATATTTGACGCTTACAACCTAATTGCTTGTAGTAAAACCCTTAGAAAATCTAAAAACAATGTTATCTTTAGTAAACAGAACCAAATTTTTTGTTGTGCATTGTGGAACCTTTTCTATTTGTGAATTTTGGGACCACTTGTTTCTAAGGAAATCTCACAAAAATTTCCCAATGTAACAAATTAAATTTTAATTATAGAAAAAATATATATTTTGAGTTATTTTATTTTACAACTCTCTATATATAACGTTGTCTTTTTATTGAAGATTAAATGTATATTAATGTTCATATATTTCAGCTTTATTAATTCTAAATTGCATTTTTTTTTCATTTTTACCAAGGATTATATAATTATTAGAGTTTTTTTTTATTTCCGCTTCCTTTAACTTTTATTCTTGTTGTTTCGTTAAATTTAATTCACGCAATATATTATTCTCATATGAAAAAATCTCTTTTTTGGAAATTACTGGAAAACCTTTTATTTTTTCCAAGTCCTAGATCCCAAACTCAAATCATTCAATATATTATTATAGTTTCGCTAGTTTCGCATACATTTACCATATAACAAAACTGCAATAGGCAATCGTTTCTTGGTCACAGTTAGTAAACAGCTAAGATATCAAAAATAAAAAGACATTTTTGGTGTAATAATTTATTTGTAATTACAATTTTATATAATTTTATTTTTTAATTATTATTTTATATACATAATTTAATTTAACAATTTATTTTTAATTTAAATTGTTGCCAAACCTGGTCAGTTGTATACCATCACGTCTGAAAAATATATATTTCATTTGTCCTTTCATATATGTACATATTTTTTTATTATTTTGGTCCTTCTTATATTCTGTTCAATTTTTATTGCATTGAAATGTTCATCAAATTGATTAAATAGTTCAACTAACGCTTGAACATTTTCGTACCAACATATATTGGTAAAACATAGTTTAGGAATGTTAATTAGCAGTCACTTACTACATATCAAACCACGTTACCGAGTTCTATGTCTACTTTAGGAACCAAAATGTTCTGTTTTAAAGTCTATTTTTGTACGGATGTTTAAAGTTTAAATATATATTTTTTATATTTTCTACTCGGCTACCTTCCTACCATCCACGTTATTTGTGAAAACTTCACACTGACGTCTATCGGATGTGTTCATTCAGTTTTCAACATCCTTTATCTTACTATTGTGTAGTACAATGTTTCGATGTTACATTGTTTGATTTCCTTCTTAGATACTCAAAATATTACAGTAACTTTTTTTACTTTATTGTGCTTGTTAGTAAATTTTAAAGCCTAATATAAATCATAAACGTGATTATGACATTGAATACGTTATCAACGATATTGAAAAAATAATTAATTTCGTCGTTTTATTAATAATGTGATGAGTGTTGACACACAAAGCATTAAAACCTACTCCAAAATGAAAGGAGATTCCTTTATTCGATTGCATATTTTTTGATTGTATTTGCGGATAACTCCAACTTCTATGTATAAACCAATTTCGACGTTGGTAAAATGATAAGGACACCAAGGTTTGACCAATTTCATTGTAGAAAAGTTCAGGACCAACTTCGAAAATTGAAGCTTACTCGAATTTGTTGGATTAAACTATCTGCTTTATATTACTTATAGTACGTCTGCAAAATATTAACTGCTGATTACAACTGTTAAATTGACATGATATTTTATCTAAGAACGGTCATTCATTTCTTTTTTCTTGTACCGTTTTAATAAATATACCTTGTGCGAATGAAAATGAATATATATTAATAGTTGAGTAGTAGCTTTATTTGACTTCCCAAATCAAACAGTACGAATGAGGGCAGACTCAACCGAATTATTTTTTCAAAGTTTTACAGATCAAACCGAGTTGATGAGCTGATCTTCTTTTGACAACCACTCAAGAAATAAAATGTCAGAAAGAAGTCAATGAGGGCTTGCATCATGAAATGAATTTGAAAATCGCTCACGAGTCATTCGTTAGAATGACTCGTGAGCGATTACTCACGAAACATACTATATCTAACTAACTGTAACTAACTAACTATAACCTAACCTAACTATAACTAACTCGAAACATACTATATGGGTTACCATATAGTATGTTTCGAGTTCAATCACAGAAGTCATCGGATACATTTTTGAGGATCATTTTTCAGACAAAAAGGTGATCAATACTTTTTTGACTTTATTCATTTACTCTTCCATTCACAAGCTCACCACATAAAAACAAGGTTTTCGATTTAGTTCATAAAATATTATAAATAATTACATAACTTTCAATTCGGTGTTAAATGAAGTAATTTATTAAATATATGTACATAATTATATTATACGAGTATGTATATGTGAGAAAGGAGAAACTTGAAGAATCGACGCCAAGACTCTTGTTCTTGCCTTTCAGTTGGTATTTAAGATAAGTAACGGTTTTCTACTTTACAGAATATATAATGTTTACTCAAAAAAATTACAACTTTATTGCAAACAGATCCCAGACAGTAACTATCGAAAATTGACTAGCAGATACTTTTTTGTAGAAGGAATTAAGTACGTTTAAGTTTAAATTATCATTACTGATAGTTTATAAAAAAAATTAAAGAATATTTAATACAGCTTAGATATAAGGGCAAACCACGTAGGTGCTACGAAGGCTACAAAGGACGCTAGGGAATAATATTCACATGATACGTTAGAATATATTCATGAACACAACTTTACAATAAGAAACAAACAAGCATGACGCTATGGCTATGAAACTTGGCAAAGAATGACGTGGATATGAGAGAACCCTCTAGAACTGGAACTCATGCTCAGGTTCCAAATCGTTGACACTGTTAATTACCTGTGTTACTTATTCAAATTTACCTTTAAATGCTTACAATAAAAAGTTACCTATTTAATATTAAAATGAAGTCGTCTAATTTAATTTTTTTTTGCCGTCTTTTATGAAAAACTAGATAACGTTTGTTTCATCAATAAAGTTTGCTAGCGTCAGGTATCACGATATAATTTACAGTTTTAAATAACATAATTTAAAAAAATATCAAACACTTTATGAAGATTAAAGTTGATAAGATCATTTTTATTATTTATTATAAAATGTTATAATACATATATTAGAATTTTAAAAAAGATTGACCAGAAAACTCAACTTTTCAATATACTCCCTCATTTACGTCTTTTTTTAAGAGAGTTTAACCTGGTGACACTATAAAAAAGTTTTTACAAATTATTGACTATAATATGAACCATATAATTAATTGTGTTTTCACTTATATGTTATCCTTCTGGTCCCAGTTTTATTTCAAAAACGAAGATTCAAAAAGTATATACGATATTTCTTTTTCAAGTTAGTTCTATACAAAAACAAAAACCTATACATTCAAGTTTACAACAATTTTTACATTCTAGGCTTGAATTAAGTGTACCACGTCGGACTAAATAATAAATAATTAAAAATACGAACTAAGTTGGAATTGTACATGTGTATGAAATGAAAAATGAAGAATTTGCTCGTTTTTTTTTAATTTATTGTCTCTGAAATAGAAATAAATTAAATTTTAATTAAAAATCAATACAGTATTCGTATAGTCCTATGGGTTCAAAAAGAATTGTGGTAAATGATTAACATAGTTTAAAATAGTCAAATTAATTCAAAAATTCTTTTTCCTTTCATAATGCACGTTTTTTAAATATCTGTCTGCAAAAATATCTTTGTAAAATACTAATATAAAAATTATAATACTTTTATCAAAATAAACTAAAATCATATAAAAATAAATCAGACAATTCTCAAACAAAGCATTTAAAAATTACTCGTAATACTTGCCCACAACGTGCATAAAACCATGCATTTGAGCGGTTAAGAAGGACGGTGCATCTGCAGAAACCTCGCAGGTATATCTTCCATGAGCTCTCTTTGTCGCAGCCTTTATCGTAACCTGCTTGGCATCGCTGGCGTCCCTCTGCCCACAGACACAATAACATTATTATACAAATAAATAATTCAAAATATAAATTTACGAGTATGTGGTGTTTGTAACAAAAATAGTTTTATTTAGATAATAGGAATAACTATTACCGAGAAAATATATTCCAATATTCTATGTTGGAATTTATTTTAATTCATATTATTCAGTATAATTTTTAATTTTATACATATTTCATTAATAGATGTTGCGAGGTCATGTTCGTAATTTTTTTTTTTATAAAATATATTTCGCTTACGTAACACTTGTATTTCTAACAAGGTTTGATCTTTAATCTGATTTTATGAGAAGGATTTGTACTTTAAGCATTGTTCTTAGATGTATTCAATTTAAAGCTATGTCTTTTTGTCATACTGAAAATTACGTCTTAAAAACATTTCATGTTTGATACAACGTAAACACTAACAAAACCTGGCAAGTACCAATGTGACTTTGCGAGTCATAATACTTTCAAAAATTATTTAGATTCCAGTAACAAACGGAGAAGGAAAAAATGGTGAGGAAACCTGGTCGAATAATTTCAAATATAAATTGAAAATCACCGATCCATCTTGATAATGCGTGGTGATTAATGCTCAAACCTTTTTCATGTAAGAAACAGGCCTTGGCTCAGCAGTCAACTCTGATAAGCTGATGATGATGAAACAATAAATTATATTTTTTTCTTATAATTTATCAATTTGTTGATCGCTCACTTTTACTGGCACAAAAAAAGAATTGTCAAACTACATACTGATAGTTTACTACTTTTCACCCACTAACCGACGTTTATACTATCATGCTGCAACTGTCAAGATTTTTTTTTATTGCTTACTTAGTAATTCTCTTAAACTAATTGGGTTAATCTATGTGAACTCCTAAAGTTGATTCTCACTTGGTTACCGTTATCCCATTACGGCCGACCCATTACTTATATTAAAATTTTTTGCATAATTTTTTTAACAGTATTGAATTTTCAATACCTAAATATTCTTATTTTAATTATAAAATTTTTTAGCGTTTTCAATTTATATTGCTAAATATATATACTATGTATATCTTCTTCTACCTGGCAATTTCCCAGCGTTAGCCAGGGTCTGTTTTACCAGTTGTGAATAATTTGGCTAATTGTTTTTACGACCGGCCGCCTGCCTGACATCAACCCTTGAAAATCAAACCGTATGTTTTGATAATTATTTTAAATACTAACTTAAGTAATTTAATAATAGTGCATATAAATGTTTTAAGGGTATTGACATGTTGTTAATCTAACTAATGACAACTTGTTGTTTATAGAAATTATATTAATTATATATCACAATGCCAATCGTACTTCCAAAACTCACTAGAAATACGATTATACCTCGAAATAGTAAGTAATCTAGCCCAGATTAATTCAATAGGACTAAAATACTATTAATGATAATTGTATTCCATTAGATGTACGGTATATTACCTAGAAAGGTTGACATATTCTAGTGCTATTATTACTTGGAGGACCTTTAACCTTTCAAAGTTTTAAAACCCGTGTATTTTAACGGAAATAGATTATTTATTATTTCTTTTCTTCATCAGAATTTGATCAATTGGAGGAGGTTTTTATTTGTGGTTAATTTTCATTCAGCGTCCTGAGCCTTTGAGAGATCTGACGGCGTTGAACCGCAGGTGGGTGCTTTCCTGTAAAGCACTTTAAGTCATCACGTGCTCCACGTGGGAACGTATCTGACACGTGCAAAGTACCAGTCTTGTTTCTCATGTTTTGTAATAGAAATCGTTGACTAATAGAAATATCTACTAGACACTAGTGTCGGGAAATCACTGCTACTGTAAAACTATTTTTGTTTAAAACAGTGAATACCTTCAATATTTTCTTGCTCAATAGTACCCTGGATATTAAAAAATTTATCATCATATTCAGTAAGTATTTATGAACATTACCCCAAGCGACCCACAAATAATCACCGCTGAGTCTAACTAGTATTTATTAAAGTACTCGTTAGCTTTGTCAAATTATTTTTAATTCTACAAGTGCATAAACATAGAATTTAAACATGTTAACGTCGAATCTCTTCGAAAACTAATAAAACTCTTTTCCTTAGGTAAGAAGCCCTTACCTGTTACATTGAATATGGAAATTTATGATGGAATTTTAGGGACTGAAAAATAATGTAAAGTTTTGCCGTACTTTCCGATTTCTTAATAATCAAAGTTAATAGCTACAATACTTTATCCCGATCTATGGCAGTGGTACCTTCCTACCTTAATTAGATTATGTGTATATATTTATGTATACACATAAACAATTGCCAAGTCTCCCAATTAAGTAAAATGTTGCAAACTTGTGGTAAGTGTGCTGCACGACCGACTTGTAAGCTCCAATGTAAAACTAACGAAAGCTGACGATGAAAGTTACAACTTACTACTTACAGGAAAATGACAATTTTAATAGGAGACAATAATGACAGCAATAATAATATATTTAACGAACTTAAAAACAATTACACTTTCACTTAAACAATTTGTATCCTGACCTTAAATTTCAAGTTTTACTACATAGTATGTTGGAAATGGCTTATACCAAATATGTATGTTTATAAAATTTGTATTCAATAAGACGACCGACACAGTACTTGAATAATACTTCCAAATATTGATTATTGGCTTCCACACGTTAGTTTTCCTAGAAATGTTGTTAGAGCCGGTGCTCTATTTATTTACTTTTTATAAGAGTTCTTAGTACAGAAAATAAAAACAAAGGAAGTCTTTTATTAAATCTGTATAAATCTGTACAAAACGAATTAAAATAAATGTTTCCATTAAAATACCTTGAGATAGACTGAAGGTTTTTTAATTTCTATATAAACAATTTATTTTTAATTTCTATATAAACAATTGAGGACACGATGGTTAATTAGTGTTCTGTAATTAAGTGCGTACATATGTATGTGTTCCCATTGAATATTCTACTATATATATGTACAAACATATGAATAAAATTGGAGTGTCTGTTTGAAATAAACGTTTTTATTATGTTTATATGAATATATATATATATATATATATATATATATATATATATATATATATATATATATATATATATATATATGGTACATACACCAAAGTAACATGTATTTAAATTTTTGTCTGTCTATGTGTATATTCCATGTAATCTTTGAAATGGTTGGATCGATTTTGACGAAACTGTTATTGAAAGGTACTTGACGTAATAAGGAGTAATTAAGTGTACTTTTATCTAGATTTAGAATGCTCATACCGATATTAAGCGTTATCACGTGCGAACGGAAAGCGGGGAGTTTGCAGAACTTAAAAGGTTTGTCATTTTTGTTTTTTTTTTTACACCGGTGTGGCAAGCTGGTATTTTATAGCATTAAGTAAAGGACAAAAACAGTTATATATTAGGGGTTTTTGATTTTTTTTAATAATAAGGTTACTGACATCCTATGTCACTTAAAAAATAAGTGTATTGACAAAATATTACATAACGCGTTTCTATCTCTGTTATCATTACCTCTCGGTATAAATAAAACAAAGTTTCAAATACGTAAACATTTCGTTTTATAAAAAAATCTAAAAGGGGAAACGATTGACTGAGTCAAAGTTACGAATTTTTACCTCTTGCAAAACGAGCAGTGACGGTTCAACGGACAAAAAAAGGCATTCCTCAGACATAACCAGATATCATTCAAAGGGTGTACGTGATTAATTTAGTTATTTTGGAATTATTAATAAAACAAAATATGTAAATAATGGAATAGTGAAAAAAAACATTTCAAAGCGTACTATTGACTCAATTATTATATTATAATTGTGTTAAAATCAAAACGTAACAATTTGAAGATATATTTAAAAGTAAAATTTGCTAATTTTAACTAACAAAAGAAAGTAAAAAGTTTCGATTAAAATGAAATAATGGTATTTCATTTTGCAATAGAAAAAACACTTCAAGTCTCTCTCCGAATAAAAATTTACAAAGACTGTAGGATTAAGACAGTTTTAAGCTGCTGAATGTTATTTAATATCAAATATTTTGTTACCTTTTTAATTTTCTGAAGAAGAAATAATTCTTTACTGTTACTGTGTTTATTTTAAGGAAATTTTAAACTAACCACCTAAAATTACCAATGAAACGACAAATTTTACCGTCTCGAAACCTTGACCATACTCGTACTGTTTATTTTGGGGTGACACAAATTGATAGTAGTAGTGTCATGCCATCTCGGAATTTTTTAATAAGCTAAAGTGGCTCTCATTCGTTACCGTCGGGATTTACATTTGCTTTCTCTATTCGACTGGTGGAAATCGATTGCAAGTTACTTTTATATCCTACCAAAAATTTCAAATTCTTCTATTCTCGTTATCTATAGGCAATACTAGTATTGTTATGTAAATTATGTTTTCGACAATCGAAGGACTTTAGAAAACCAAAGTTTTCTTGTAACATATTTAAAACTAAAAGTTACGACTAATTTTGTTTTTTTTTTATTATATTTATTTTATATTATATGTTATAGGTTAGTATAAATATTTATTTAACCTTTAAGTACCGACGTGGGGCCTGAGAGGCCGCGGCGGGTTAACAAGTTGTAAGTTTTACCGCTTCCCCGCACACGTGAGCCCCGTGCTCGTCAGTAGCTGCTAGTTTAGTTGCGCCGACGCCGTTGAGTGTGGTAGCAGTGCCGGCGAACACAATTTCGGAAAGTTATGTTGTTTTGAAATTACGACGCGGCCTCTCAGGCCCGACGTCGGTACTAACGTTAGTTTTTTGTTTGGGTCATGAATGAAATTAAATGCTTGTTTTTAGAAATCTATCGGATAATTTGAAGAATGGATGTACCAGGGACATCAGGGGGTAAACGTAGTTTGTCTACGGATGAATTACGTTTTTCCAAAAGACCACGGCGTCCTATAAATCTCTTGGATGAAAATAACGCGGCATTGATTGAGACCTTGCTTGCAGAAGACTCCAGCGGATCGGAGGTAGATGATATCGCAGAAGATTAATAAAATAATAAAATTCTATAATTCCACAAAAGGCGGAGTAGATGAAATCGACAGAAAGTGTTCGGTATACCTGCTTGCAGCCGTTGATGAAGACGTTGGCCTCTGACACCTTTATATAGGATCTTAGATATAAGTTCAGTCAATTTACATATACTGTATGATGTGCATTTAAATAAAGGCACTGATCGCGGTGTGTTTATAAAACAGTTAGCTCGATAACTTGTATTAGACCACATGAAGAGAATGGTGTTACGCTTGCCTCGTGAACTTCGTATGAGTTTAGAGAGAATACTCGGTCCTGATATGCCAAACACAGAACAAGGTCAAGCAAAAGACGAAAAAACAAGAAAAATATGTGCCTCTTGTCCGCCTAAATTAAATAGAAAATGTACATACCAATGTTACTCATGTAAAAAACATGTTTGTTTACAGTGCGCTAAACAAATCTGCCCTAATTGTGACTAACTTTGTTGTTGGACATTTTTTTTATTTTATGAAAACAATTTAAGTTTAATTTTTTTTGAATAGATATAACCTTTCAGTTTCAGAAAAAAGTCTATTTCATGGTTTCTAGGAAGTATTATTTCTTTAATTATTTTTATTCCAGGAAGTGCCATTTTTAAGTTGAGAGTCGGAGCCAAAGATTAAAGATCTTATAATTTCAAAGTTCAATAAAGTTGATTATAATAAGTGTCTTTGTTTTCATTTATAGATCCCAAATTAACGATAAAACTTAAAAAATAGATGTCTATTGTACATATTTTTCATACCACTCAGTGTTTAATATGCGGCCTCTCAGGCCCCACGTCGGTACTAGTGATACAAAAAAACCACGTCGGTAGTTAAAGGTTAAGAAATGTTTTACCTTCAGTTAATGAGATATAAGATTTTCGCGAACATTCATTTAAATGAAAATAATATTTTTCCGATTTACTACGCGATTTTTATTTTTAATTATAAACTAAATACATACTCCCGACGTTTCGGCTACTTTAGAGCAACTGTGATCATGGACAGACGAGATGTCCTCATCATTTACCTTCAGTTCTCTACTACTTTCACATACAATAAATAAAATAACGATCTTAATTATTATTAGACGTCTTATTAGACGTTGGATATATTTCTCTTAGCATTCAATATGTAATATGGATGTTATATAAATAAGATAAGTATTTGAAAAACATTTATCTACGCATAAATCTTTAAGAATCATTAGAAGTTCTGAAATATATCTTTATATTTCATTTAATTTTGTCGAATATAGATTCCTGAAAAAAAATTGTCTATTTGTTAACCAACATTTTAAACAATACATTTTACTTTTTGTACACTTTTACTTGATGTACTACGCGACTTTATTTTTGATAAAAAACTACATACTCCCGACGTTTCGGCTTCTTTTCAGAAAGGTGATCACGGTATTACTCAGATGTATTAAATGAATCAGTCTCGCGAAAATCTTAGATCTCATTAGAAATATTAATTATTCTAATAGCTTAGATTTTAGAACATAATTTAATGTTATAACTAAATTTATTTTCGTATAAGATTACAATGAAAGAAGAAATAACTCATTCTTTTCTATAAATATATTATTAAGACATCAACAAGCATTTTATATAACACTTATTTCAAAGAGCCGATAGTCAAATGAATAAGGCCTCTTCGAAGGAATATATGTATCTCAGTAATTACTTAAACTTCAACAATTGTTGCTTATTGAAATAGCAACAAATTCTCGAATACGTTTTCTTATATCAATGTAATATATTACAAATTCATTACATTCTTAAGGCAAAATTCAAGAACAATGAATGACTAAAGTGACGAAAAATTTACTTTGTATACAATAAAAAATATTATGTTATTGCTTAAATAAGCGAAGAAGGCATAAGAATTGTATCCATTTTTTTAAGTGCTTTGAATATTTTATGTTAATGAAAAAGTTTATACATTTTTAATAGTAACGTCTCGTGGACATTTGAAATTTATAAACATGATATTTTAGACATTAAAACAATACATTTTTGAAACATGGAAACCAACTAGATCCTATAACCGATTATTCCTACCATAAGTAAAACAGAATCTAAAAGAAAACAAATTAATATAAGCTTATTAACTTTGCTGTCATTCATCTGATAAACATCTAATTAAAGACTTTGTAAATAAAGATATAAAGTGTAATTAAGTTGTGAAAGTTATAAACTCTGTGTTTAAATGTTAAAAGCGTTGAACGGTTTTATTAATAATAGTCTAATATAAACTATTATTCAATCTAAAAATATATTTATGAGAAAGGGGACTTTTTTCATTATTATATATTGAATGCTAGTGATTCTTCACCAAATCCTAATGAGTTTTATGTTAATTAAGCAACTAGCAGTATATGACGTAATCCCACAATAAACGCGGTTTACGAGTAATTCCATCAGCCAATACCGCAAAATGTTAAAGCCGTACAATTTATAGCCAGTGTTCATGTAGACAAATTTGTTGCAGTGGCCTTATGCAATTCTCTGCATATGGGACTTGGTAAATCGTATATATTTTGTTTACCCTGAAGTCCGATATTTCCGATAAAAAATATTAAAAAAACTAAAAGTAGAACTTGAGGTATATTATAAAACTACTGTAATAATTTCTTCATCTTATATATTTTGTTAACATGCAATAACTTCACAAAAAGTCACACGTAAACACGCAAATAAAATCAGCCCAAAACCATAGATGGAAAGTTATTAAAACATTTGTGATAACAGTAAAACAAAAATGTGAAAATAGTTCATAATACTCACATCCACTTCTATCCCCGATATCGGAAATACTTTAAGAGGCGGGACGTCTCGTGGCGAATAGCGACAGAATTCTCTATCACCTCTGTACCATTTCACTTGGTATAAATCTTCCTTTTCTAGATCGTACATACATTTAATGACCGCCGGCTTGCCACGTTCCACAGCTTCTGGTATCATCATGTAAACATTTTTGAGACTGAAAGTACCTGAAAATAAGTATTAATATTATTTAAATAATATGAATTTTTATTCTTTCAGTTTTTTTTTTCTTTACTTTTACTATTCACTTTCGTCTGTGTGCTCAAAGTTATGAGAAATACTATTTTATAGTTGGTGACACTAATACTGTGATAGCCTTGTATGGCATCACTTCTTTTATTATCTAGTGATACGATATATAGAAAAGGTATTTTTATACTATACATATTATGTATATGTATCTCAAGGTTAAACCAAAACAAATAAGAAGATTAGTTAAAACATTTTATTACGGTATTGTTTTATTCGTCCCCTTGAGTATGAAGAGATAGACCTTTATCCAGTTATAACATACATATATCTTTATTTTAACATAACCTAAATACATATCCATTGGTTAACAAAATTAAAAGTAAGTGTTAAACGATAATATATTTTCCTGTGATTCCCTAGTCAGTATTGTTCACAATAACAAAAAGTAATTGTGTATTTTAACAAAATTATTAAATAAGCTTGAAATATAGGGCTAAGGAATCTAAAATATGTTATTAATAGATAGGGAGGCAACACCATCATTAATGGGGTTAGCATCAAGATTAATCCTAAAGCTCCAATCCGATAACGTAAAATTGGCACAAGTGCCTGTTTATACTAAAAAATAAAATGAAATCATTCAGAAATGATAACTAAACATATATTTTCTTTACCATTTCATAATGATTTTGACTGAAAATGTTATTAAAAATCTATTTTTGTGTACTCTTGAGTTTTTATTACTACAACTTTGAATTTAAAAATAAATCGTTATTAAAATTCTAGAATTATTTTCCGTTTTTTATAAGAAATAATTATAATTACTTCCGCACGTATACTTATTGAAAATAAATTTTTAGAATATCAGCGAAGTTATAAAGAAAATTAATTTACTACCATTTAAGTATTTTATTTTTTAATAATATATATCGGCGCTATCAGCTTTAATAACGGATGCGACATGAAAATAATTTGAGGCTGTCATCAATTCTTATTAAACCTCATTAGTATTTACGATTATTGTTAAAAGTAAAACGAAATCAAAGGAGAATAGAACTATGTTTAAATCTTGTTATAAATATGACGTCTGGACGCATGACGGCAGAATTCAGAATTGAGAATTAAGAGTTCAGTGAGTGCGTATCATTGAAGTATGTGATTATGAAGAACCTTTGAGAAATACAGGAGCATTAAGAACAATTTAAGTTTCATTTTAACATATCATGGAACGCTCTAGAAGAAGTGACATTAGTTACGTCAGCGAGGCTGGCGTCTCTCTCTTTTAAAACAATGAATTTGTAATAAATCCGATATATACATTATGATGTTTTATATTTCAATTTCTTGTTACAATAACACAACCTACTATATTTGCTACCATCAATTTTGTATTAAAAACGGTAGAAAACTTTTCAGTTGAAATATGGCATTAGCCAGCCAGTAGTGGCCAATCTCCCAAGTATTTTGGCACTGTGCCGAAGATGTCAATTAGCAAGACTACGTTGAATTCGCATTACGTTATTACCTAATCAATTTATATGTAAATCTCTAACTAAATTCAATACAATTGACGTATAATAATACATTTTTTTAAATTATCACATAATTATTATTGACGAATGAAATATAACACAATTTGTATAAAACATTTCTATTCCTAGAATCTAAATTAGTTTGTAGCGTAATTTCTATACATTGCTAAATTTATCTTCTAACAATTCTCTTTTCACTTTATCACGTATGTCTATTTGAAAATATAAGTACCATACATAAATAACATTTCAAGGCGAGAAATGAGCACTTGAAATAATGTTTATCATCTTAAAAAAGGTTTCGTCATTTCTTAGACTGTGTATCACATGTCATATAAATGAGCTGGTCGCATAGGATGCGAAAATTTTTAAGACACATATATACTTACATTTTATTAAAGTATAATATCTGTAAACCGTTATTGCAAAAGTAAATTAAATAAAGACATATACCAAGCCCTGAGCATCAGAAACAAAAAATTATCTTATCTTAGGTTTATTTTTTAAGTAATTAGATTAATTAAATAAAATTTCTTATTTTTTACTATAAAAACATATTAAAAGAAAACAGCATGAGTTTATTCGAAGGTTTTGGTTCTTATAGTGTAAAATTTTTCCACTGCATATAATATTTAGAAATTAATCTCAGCTTTTTGACGACTAGAATATCAATGGGCTTTTTAGTGACCGCTAGCTTCAATGAAATAAACACAAATGCAGCGAATTTTGGAGGCATGATTTATATTTTGTAAAATAAACATTTAAATTAATTATATGGAAACTTAAATATGAGATAATTTTAAGATATCATTAACTTTTCGAATGGCGCTTGTCATATTTTGGATGTATCTACAGGGTCTTTTCATGATAAAATTTGTAAGGTATTAATAGGAAGCGATTCAAGAAAATATTTTATCTGCAAATATTATAAAAATTTTTTTACTCTTTTTTTTTCTTATTCTGACTGATTTTATACAAACAAATATCTTACAACTTGGAATAACACTAAAATGCTATGGCCAAGTCTGTCAGTTCTGGCCAAGTTGTGAGCCAAGATGGCAAAGATTCAACGTGGAAATAAATGAATGACGCGAACGAGAAACGGTTATGATGTTTTCATTTCTCTCTGGAACAGTGTTTTTTTTAAACAAAGAAAATTATTTTATGTAAATTAATTTTAAATAAATATTACGGTGAAGGGAAAACATCGTGAGGAAACCTGAACTTATAGTTTCACAATTATAAGTTTCAAATCACCAACCCGTCTTGAACAAGCGTGGTGATTAATGCTCAAACCTTCTCCATGTGAGAAAGAAGCCTTTGCTCAGCAGTGGGTTCTGATAGGCTGATGACATGACATGAAGAATATATCCACTTTGGAGAATTTAAATTACGTCTTGTATCGATTTTAATGTGATCATTGGATTATTTTAAAAATCATTATAATGTATAAAATTATTTTGAATATGATACCAATAACATATATCAATATAAAATTAAAGTTAAATCAAATATAATAAAATGCAAAATTTACTGAAGTGGAGAAAATATAACTCTCACATACATTGTATTTCTCTATTTTTGTGTACTTAGAATTGTGAACGTTTAACTCTCATTACTGGTTTGTTTTATTATTTTCTACATTACATAGATTTGATTTTTAAATACAGTCTCAAATTTTTCTCTTAAATGTAGTAACTTTACACGTTTGTCACACAGTAGAATTCCAATGGGGAACTGGTAGTAACTTCAATCTATTTGAAAACTATATTTAGGCTTCTACCAATTTGGAACCTCATCTGTCTACTACGACTGGAAGCTACTAATTTTTTTTACAAAAATTTTGAATTTGCCGGAGAAATATTTATACTACACTTTTGAAATATTTTACTTAACTGCAGTTGTCGGATTAAAACAAACAGAAATTCAGAAACATAAAAACAAAATTTAATACTTATATGACACTTGAATAAAACAATCCATAGTTTGATAAAAAATATATATTTAAGAAGTTGTGATTGTGACAGTATTCTTGTGGAGAGTAATGTCAAGCGTGGGTAAAAGTATCTACTGACAGGAAAATAGTGCATGAGCATGGAGTGGGTTTCTCTGTCCCCGTCTCCCACACCTTACTTTTATTCCATCATTAATACAGCTAAAAGTCTTCGTTTTATTTATACTTTGAGATTATTATTTTAATTTCATCCTTTTAAAGTATTTCATCGGCTCTCATCTCTTAGCGGTATACATAAAAATACTAATTCATTTAAGTAAGGTGCACTAGATCATGTTTCTTCCTTTAATATTATGATATCATAAAAAGGATGAAAAAGTAGTTTGGTTTATTATTACTTTTCAATGCCTAAAACCTAGAATTATTTGATATAATGATTATTTGATACATAAGTACATATAAAATAATAATATAAAATACATTACATAATTTTTCAACAATTTCAAATTAAATGATTGCAGACTTATGAAATTATCATATACTTAAAGATAAAATATTAGGTTAAAAAAAACATAAACGTTCGTTTAGAAGGAAAAATGACTTTATATTTAATAAGATCTTCGTAGCTTAATTACGTTTAGGCATTCCCTAGGGCAGGATCTTGGTAGAGTTTCGTGTTACCTGTTAATTCGTAAAATATTGTGAAATTATGAACTTGGTCGAGCGCAAAATCGCGAGGGAATAAATTCAACAGGTTTAATACAATAACTCAGAAGAATGCGAACTTATTAACTTCATTAGATTTTTTATTTGCATCTTTTTTAATAGAAATATTGAACAAATTTGAGGAACTTTTCTTATAATGAATTAACGATACTTTTTTTTTCTATTTCCTGCTAATCAGAAGTTACATCGCAACCATAAAAACAATACAGAAATCCAACTATGCTTTTTAAAGATTCAAATTTGGTACTATAAGATGTAAACAATAGTATTTTTCAAATAAATAAATGTCACGATTTTTGAATTCAAACTTTTTTAGATTTGCATTTTAGAGAAGACTTAGATATAGAAGCATATTTTATTTTATAGATAATTCAAAGTAAAGTTAAAAGATAAATATTTGTAATTAAATATATTACAGATTATTAAGAACATAAAAGGGTAAGTTATCACTGTATTTCGTGAAAAAAAAAGGGAAAAATAAAAATCCGACAATTTATTTAAATTTTGAGATTATGTAAAAAGAGTTTAAATAAAAAAGTTTTAGATCTTTTTACCTCCAACTTTGCTTTTTGCCATCACCTGATTTATCAAAGGTTCGAGAAAACATTCCTTTAAACATCTTAAAACTCAAAAATTCATAATTGCCCTAATTCTCTTTATAAATCTAGTAGTATGTAATAGAGTTGTGCACGTTTCTTCGTAACTTTAGAAAATAGTTAATACCAAATGCCAGAAGTACTTCCTAGCTACGAATAATTCAAGCTTTTCATTATAGAAATAAATTGAAAGTTATATATTCGTCTCGTCTACAAAACTCGCTGAAATTCACGTCATTAAAAACTTTTCATCGTCATCGAGACCCACATTTGTAACAACAAACAATAAAAGATATGTCACATAAATATGCAAGCTTTTAACTTCACATACTTTCACTTATTTATCAACAAAAAATTGTATTTTTTTTTCATTTTATAATGGACTGTATGCGCTTTTCTCGAAAGTCTAAATTGCGATATCAGACGAAGCGGGTTAAGACATTTTCAATCAACTTCAAACAACGGGAAGGTTATCAATTCCTTTTTTTATGTTTATTACCTCATAACTTTCTACTAGGTAAAGTGATTTTAATGATATTTTTTTTATTTGAAATCTGATGCTTCCTTTTTGTTTCTCTTGCAATCAGATCCAGTAATGACAGGGACACGTAAAAAAATCATATGAGTCCTAAATTAGCCTTAAGTATGAACGCATATGTAGTAAATTCAACGGCAACCGATTTCGTTTTATAAATATTAAATTTATAAAATATATATTAAATTATTAAAATATATACTATTAAAATTGGGGAAAAGCCAAAAAATGTGTAGGCATATATAATACACCTTAAGTAATGGCATTCCTTAAATGGCGGAAGACAGATTCCTTAATCTTGTTGTTAACGGACTTCAAAAGAGGAGGAGTTGCTCAATTCATGTAATCTTTTTATATATGTTCCCGATTTCTCTAACACTTGAATTATCATTTTTTTATCTCAAAAATTGCATCCCCCAGATGGTTTTATAGTCACAAAGGCAGGTTTTTATACTGGAAGTATCTAAAATATTTAAAGAAATCAAAAAAAAAAGAGGAAAATAAAGAAATTGGGAAATCAATTCTTTTTATATAAATGCACTTTTGACAAAGTATTCCTTCGTTTCAAGAACGACTTTTAAAGACTTCGTACTGTATTTCGTTGTTTTTTACGCTTCATTTTGTCAATTTCAGACGTCCCTTTTGTCAAGTTCAGACTCCTGAGATGGACATTTTTCATTCACTATTCACCATTATTCACCAGTCCACTAAATTCGGATTGATAAACCACAATTCATAGCTCATGACAGGTACATACAAAAACTAATCCGCGAGGTTGTTGAAATTAAAAAACATGCCAATTTCAATTGAGAAGATGGCTGAATTTTATCTAAATACTGGAACAACCTCATAAAAAAAATAAAACCCCATGTCTGTGACTACACCGCAACACCTCGAGACACAGTTAACTCATTTTGCACACATACAGAGCGCTACTCTAGAAAATTAAGAAATCGTTGACGGCAGATAATATATAATAATATCAATTGAGAGATCCACATCTCGTCTGTCACGATTGCTACAAAGTAAATAAAACGGCGGGAGAATGTTGTTAAAAATAATTATAATTAATTACGCAGTAATCCGAAAGACATTTCTTTTATTTCTTTGAATACTAGAAAAAATCTTAGATCTCCTTATGAAAACTATTTTTATTTACTTTCAAATCATGTAAACATTTCTTTATTTATAACTGCCCTTTGAATTCGGTGCCTTCTGCATTTTAAGGAACTGAACACTAATATATAACATAATCGTAAATTAAAACAACCTAAAAGTAACCTAAACCTAAATTAATGAGATCTAAGACTTTCGCGAGTCTTATTCCTTTAAATGTAACTAATATTTCTCGAACATACTACGCCGTTTATTTTTGTATAAAATATATGTTTTGGCTGTGATCACGGTTGCTGAAAAGCACCCGAAACGTCGATGAATTAAATAAATAACAAGTAATCGGTTCGAAACTAAAACTAAATGTCGATTATTTTTAACACAAGTAAGACATAAGATATACGAGCGAATATAATATTCTTTAGCTAAATACTGAAATAGATTAACGTCGTTTGGAGCAGTATCAAACAATATAGACAGATAGAAATTTCATCACCAATAGAGATATTAATCTGAAATTATTCTGACCTAAGAAATAGTTGTCATGTATGTATTATAAACCTAAGGCACCGAAAAGGTGATTAAATATTAAGAAGTTGTATATATTAAATGAGATATTGGAAAGTAAATAGAAATAGTGTTCGTTCATCTACATTAGGAGTTTCTTAAATTTTTGTGCACATATTAAGAATTTAATCAAATATCTGGAACCCATTTTATAACACTAATATCGAAAGACTAGAGCGAATACAACAAAATATTACCAGTTTTCTTGCGTTCAAGGATACTTAGTTGTCCTTATCGCGCTAACTACAATAATAGGATAAAACAATTTAAAATGATATCACTTAAAAGTCGCCGTAAAATCAGCGATGTTTTGACCCTACACAAACTGATCCATAGTCAAATAATGTCATCTGAACTACTTCAGCAAATCAATTTAGTTGTTCTCCGCAAAATTCCTAAACATACTATAAAAAAACCTTTCAGAACTACAGCTTTTAAAACAAATTTAGGAAAACATGCACCCCTCAACAGAATAATTAATTCTTATAATGAATATTCTTCTAACGGCAATATCGACATCTTTGCCCAAAGCAAGCCAACTTTTGTGAAGCTCTGTAAAGATCTCATAGTATAACTTTAAAACCATTTTATTCATAAATTAAATTATGTCAACCCTTGTAGATTTTTGTTGTTGTATTAAAATTATATTTTGTTTTTTTTTTTAAACTATAGATAAGTTTATTTTTTTATTTTTTGTAAAGATATAATTAGGTTAGTACATTATTATCTTAAGGTCAATGTTGTTTACACCTGTAATGATTTATTCACCTAGATTTAAGACCCTGTATCTACTGCTAAGTGAATGTGTTAGTGATAAGTCGATGGTGTAACTATTTCCAATAAATAAATTTATTATTGGATAGGTTAAGTTAGGAGCATATATAGAAGTGTAAAATTATTTATGGCTTTTAGTTTCCATGTTCCTATTTTATTTTATTTTTTGGAAGTCGGTGTTTTTTACTTGAAAATATTTTTTTAATGTATGGGATAAAATCGATAAGTTAATGTCGTGCTTGTTCGGCCGAGTATCTTGATTGAAACAAATTGTAATTAATATAAATTATTTTTAATATATTAATAGCATAAATTCATAAAGAGATTCATCGTCGTGCCCTCGAACGTATAACACGTGCCGGTGTAATAAAAAGTGATCTGTGAATACCCCCAGAATGGCTAAATGTGACAAGTGCAATAAATATATCACCAAAAATAAACCTGGTTTAGAATGTAACCGATGTGAGAAGGTAGTGCATTTGAACACCATATGTTCAGAGCTTTCGAATAAACAGCTGTCCGCAGTACGTGCAGTGGAAAATCTAGAATGGACATGTCGAGAGTGTCAAGAAAATTCTCCTAAACGTCACTCAATTGTTATTCCTGACGATGATGAAGAGGAGGAAGACAAGCGTAATGAGGCTCCGGATCTAACAATTGACATGCAGCAACTGTTGGCAGACATAACAAGGCAAATGGAGAAAACCATTAAACGCGAAATGAAAGAACTTAGTCAGTCCTTGCAATTTCATAGTGAAAAAATGGATGAAGTCATTACAATGTTAGAAGTTTGCGAAGAAACCATAAAAGATTTAAAGAAAAAGAACATCGAACTCATAAACAAAAATAATAATCTAGAGACGAGGGTAGGTGCACTGGAACAGCGTTTACAAGAAAAAGAGCAGCGGGAGTTATCTAACTGCGTTGAAATTTGTAATGTTCCTCAAAGGGTTGATGAAAATACTTATCTGCTAGCTAAACAGGTTGCAAAAAAACTTAATCAACAATCTGAAGATATTAAAGAAGCAATTCGTCTACCAGGTAAGAAAGAAAATCCGAGCCCTATCCTGATCAAACTAAAAAATGAACAACTTCAAAACTCGTGGCTAACATCTGCAAAATCAAGTTATCATAAAATTAAAGCGGTCGATATTGTTCCCGAAACTACTGACAAAATTGAAGGTGAAAAATCAATATATCTCAGAGAAACCCTAACACCGTATAATAGACATTTACTATGGTTTGCCAAAAAAGAACTAAGTACCACCTACAAATTCATCTGGATCAAAAAAGGAATTTTACGTGCACGCAAAGAAGGTGATAAAGAAAAAGCAATAATTATTCGATCAAAAGAAGATGTTAATAAGCTGAAATAATTCTTAATTATACGTAGGTACATAGGTTATACTTATTGTTCTATAGATAAAATTTCTTCTAAAGATAGATAACATCAGAGATAATATTTTAGAATTATCAGATTGTATTAACTTGCAAATATTTATAGACAGTATACCTACTAACATAAATCTATTATGCATTCATATAAACATTAGGTCAATAATCAAAAATTTCTCAATACTGGAATACTGTATTCAGCAAAGTTCAAAAATTCCCGATGATGTAATTATAATCACTGAAGCTACTATACATATCAGAATCGCTAAGTTATTTGTACAACCTGCAGGGATATAATATGCACACACAGTTGCGTACGGGACGCAAAGGTGAAGGCATTATAATGTACGTACGAAAGACCACCTAGTAATAGAAAGCACTTATTTGTAAATGAACTAAACATATTTCTTAGTAAAGTAGAACAGAGTCAGGATATATGTATATGTATAAGGAGATATAAACTTTGTCTTAAAATATAACTGTCCTATAAAGCATAAATATAGCACTGTTATGTATAATCACGGGCTTGTGTGTGGGATCTCGGAATAGTAGTAGAAAAGTGTAGTAAACAAATTAGTAAGACATGTACTGATCAC